AGAATACGACAGTCGCAGACATACTCTCACATCGTGCTGGACTGCCGTATGTGTCATCTCCGATAGAGCAATATGCCAATTGGACAGCAATGATTCACACACTAGAACAACAGCAACCATTGTGGACTCCGGGAACAGTTCATGGTTATCACGCAGTTACCTATGGCTGGCTAGCTGGTGAACTTGTTCGTCGTACTGATCCAAAGAAAAGATCTCTGGGGCAATTTATTAAAGATGAAATTGCGAGTCGAACACAGATCGAATTCTACATTGGTCTACCCCCCGAAATACAATATCGCGTATCGCCAGTTGTTCCCTATCCAGATGTCAAGAAAATACTGAACGAAACGATGCTAACTTTATTCACTGTATGGAACGATCCTGGCATTCATCAAGCAGAAATACCGGCTGCAATTGGGATAACAAATGCTTGGTCGATTGCACGACTCTACGCATCATTGATTGGTGATTTGGATGACGGACCAGAACAACGATTGTTAACCGACGAAATACTGAAACGCGCAACCATGTCAAACACACCCTTAAACGAGATGGATCTTGTACTACAGTATCACTCGTCATTTGGGATGGGTTTCCATCAATTTGATCAGGCTCTGCCAGCTTTTGCACCAGGGACATTTGGTCATCACGGTAAAAAAGAAAACTCTGATCAAATTACTTAACGATCCTGTTTACATGAATTTTAGGAGCTGGTGGAAGCATTGGTTTTGCGGCGCCATCCAAGAACCTTTCTTTCAGCTATGTTATGAATCAAATTCAAACGGACACAATAATAATCATTGATCCTCGTATAAAACCTATACTAACTCAGATTGCAGCAAAGATTAATGCTAAGTTATAATGACAGCGTTCTTGTGCTTGAAAATAATGTAAAATAGACATAACGTAATCTTTTCAATACAGGAGAGACATTTTTGCCAAAAGTATTAAGCTATTTGTTTTTTTTACTCTAGTTTTATTGAACTGTTAATCACATATACTGAACCGTAATGCCTAGCATACCGCCTTGCGACAGGTAAAATATTACGTATTCCGATTAACGTCATCTAATTGTATTATCAGAAACATTGTTTAAATTTGGTTTGTTTAGAAAATGCCTTTGATCTGTTACAGAATCACAAGAGTGATAATACATATTCAGAAAAAAATAAAAATCAAGTTAATTATTTATGTT